CCCACCCCGGCCCGGCGGAGCCATGTCTCGGGGTGGCTCCTGCCCACACCTGTTGTGGGACGTGAGGAAAAGGTCCCTCGGGCTGGAGGACCCGTCCCGGCTGCGGAGCCGCTACCTGGGTGAGCGGGGGCCCCGAGGCGGAGGCGCTAAGGTCGCCGCCCAGAGGTGGGGGAGGGGGCCGCGGTCCGGGCTGTTGGCGGTGGGACAGCGCTTCGGCCCTGGCGCCCCCGAGATACTGGGGCCCCTGGGTGGACCTCGGCTGACGGACCCCGAGCCCTGCGCTCCACGGCCAAGCCCCTTCGCGTGCTGCCAGCCGCCGCCCTGGCCGGGTTTTCTTCGCGGGGGCGGGCGCCACCGGCCAGGAGAGGTGTTGGGGTCGCCTCTGGAGTGGGGCTCGGGACTGGACTTGGCGGGCCTCCGGGAGCGTTTGGAGCGAAAGTTGGCGCTCCTGCTCGTCTCCGGCGCTCTCCCCTGTCAGACCAGAGCCTGAGTTTCTGCTGACACCCCCTCCCCTTCGATCTCGGGAGGGTTCAGGTGTCGGCCGCGACTCGACCACCCGCGGGGACTTCGCGCTCGGCACAGCTCCGCGTAGACTGTCCCGTGGCTCCGGGCCAGAGCCTAAAAGTGGTCGCCGAGCTGTCCCCACCCCCTCGAGCTCCCCGTGCGACCGCTCTTCAGTTGGTTCTGATCGCCTCAAGGAGGTGTAGGGTTTCACGTTCCCATTCCCACCCCTGCAAAACACACTTGGCATTTTCTGACTCTTAGTTCAGCTTTCTAAAAACAGCCTTCAATGCTAGAGGGAACAGCTTCCACTATTTTTCCGTTTTGGATAAAGTGGTTTTGTGGGGATTCCAGGTCACGTCTTCACTAACCAAAAAGTCCACTATCACTATCTTAAAAAAGGACTTTGAGTATGGGTCTTTTGGTGGTGTTTCTTCTTGTGCAATCTTATCATTCCTCTTTATTCTTCCTTTGTTATTTGAGGACAGCATTAATTTTTTTTTCTTTCCAATTTTGTCACTTTTTGGTGGCTAAGTCTTTCTGGATGTCATTTGGTTTCGACTTCAAGTCAATAAAAGAAAATGAATCTTGTTACACCTAACAGATCTGGTTTATAAATTATTTTAGAAAAACTGGAAGCATTTTTTTTCTTATTCTTTTTTCTTTTTTTTAGTGTCTCAAGGGACATATGAATACATTCTCCTTATAAAAACTTAATAAAAATGAAGCAATAATCCCTGTGATCCTTCCCATTCCAATTTCACACACACATCCTTGGAGGTAACAATATTATGTTTCCTGAATATTTGTCCAGACCTTTTTCTTTGCATTCTTACCAGCACATATGTGCACGTAGAGGTGTTAATAGTTGTGTGTGTGTGTGTGTGTGTGTGTGAGAGAGAGAGAGAGAGAGAGAGAGAGAGAGAGAGAGACCAGCATGTATGGCGTTATACTGTAAACATTTTTTTCCAACTTTTTTTTTCTACACTACATCTTAAAAGACCTTGATATGGCAGTAAAAATAGATCTGTTCATTCTACAGAAACACATATAGGTTTACATATAATGTTTTCTTCTGGTTCAGTTAGTTCAGCTGTGTCTATGAAAGAGTCAATTAAAATTAAAACCCTACATTTCCCCCCCTTCCTATTCTAACTCCCAATGGAGTGAAGTTTGTGTTGGGCGGAGGAAAATTGAAGAGTAAGAGTCTCCTGTCTTTTTGTTGCTGTTTGTTAATCCTCACCTGAGGATGTTTTTTCTGTTGCTTTTCAGAGAGTGGAAGGGAGGGAGGAATGCAGAGAGAGAGAGAAACATCAATTGGCTGCCTCCCACACTCGCCCCAACCCATAAGCCCCAAGCGGGGCAGGGATTGAACTTGCAACCCAGGTAGTGCCCTTGACAGGGAATCGAACCCAAGATCGGTGTATGGGCCAAAGCTCTAACTGCTGAGCCACACTCGCTAGGGCTGGAGTCTCCTGTCTTTAGTAGAATGTCTAAGTGATAGATTTTCAAATATATGTGTTTGCACACAAGGTGTTCTTCATCTTAAATAATATTTGAAATGTGCTAATAATAAATACTTTATAATTAGCACATTCTCTGGACAGCTTCCTTTCAGAGTGGTTTTCTAAGTATGAAAATAGCCTGTAATTTCTTGGCCTTCATTTTTCCAGTTCTTCGACACTACAGTACTAATCTTGGTTTAACATTCAGGAAACAGCAAAATCCACGTTAGTAGTGCCTGAATTAATGAGAGTTTTAAAATGATATTTTGAAGTACTCATATAAAGCCTTCCTTTTAAAAAGTCCTAGTCCAAGGGTTTTAGAAAGTAAATAGATCCCATTTTTGAGATTTAAACATTTTGATTATCTATAGTATTGTAGGTTAATTATATTTCTTTTTTTCTTTTTTTAAAATATATCTTTATTGATTTCAGAGAGAGGACAGGAGAGGGAGAAAGAGAGATAGAAACATCAATGATGAGAGAGTCATTGATCGAGCCCACAACCCCGGGCATGTGCCTTGACCGGGAGTCGAACCCTGATGGCCTGGATCCTAGGTCAACGCTCAACCGCTGAGCCACGCCCGGCCGGGCAGGTTAATTATATTTCTGATTTATTTCCATTATTTGTATTTCTAAAAATCAGTTATCGTTAAATAACAGTGATATTGGGAGAGAATGAATTGACAGATTTTCCTTATGACATTTGCATTTCAAATTATTTTACCATAGAATGTATCTTTTCAGTGGTAGTAGTCAAGCTTTGTTGCTCATTTTATTTAAATTTGGCTAATTATCTCTTTTCCTCCCATGAAAGAAAATTACAGTTCACTAAACATACTTTTACATTGTGGGAATGAAGATAATTTGTCATATGTTATTAGGAGAAAAAGTATGTTTAGTTATAGCCCCCAAATTCATCTGAACTAATAGAGCATGGATTGAGTCAATAGAACAGGGATTGTCATCTCTACGAACCTGATGTAAATTTCAGTGTAGGATTTATTTTTTTAAACACTAATTGTCAAAGTCCCGAATTAGAGACACCTGTAGGTTTAAGTATTTCAGAGTTTATCAACATGCTGTATAGCTGTATGGGAGTGCTTTGGAATTCAGTGATTGTTATAACTTATTAGCCACACATTTTAGTGCATATATAATTTTATAAAGATAAACATTGCTCATAAAAGAAACAAAATTTCTGTACATTTCCTCTATCCATATTTTTCTCATTTTAGACAGACTTGTCTACAACTTGAATTGACACTTTCTAACTCCTCTAAATTAAAGGATGGTAATCCACAAAAGTAATATTAAATTTTTTGAAGAAGCTATTTGCTATAATGCATAAAATGTTTGATATAAAATATTTGAATTATGATTAGGCAGTGTCTTGGTCAGTATAGGCTGCTGTAACAAAATGCCATAAACTGGGTGGCTTATAAACAAGAGAAATTGATTTCTAACAAATTTGGAGGCTGGAAGACTGAGATAGGGTGTTCACATGGTCAGATTCTGTTTGGTGAGCCTGCTTCCTGGTGCATAGCCATCTATGCATTGTAACCTCATATTGCAGAAGGGGCTAGCTACTTCTTTGGGGTCTCTTAGAAAAGCCCTAATCTAATCCCACTCACCTCCCAAAGATCCCATTTCTTGATATCACCACCTTGGGGATCAGGATTTCAAGAGAGGAATTTGGGGAGGGGAGGTATATAGCAGGCAGTCCATGACAACTTTACAGTAGAGA